AATTTTGACATTTATTTTTTACTATATGACATTTTTTATGACTATTTAGTGACACTGATAATCTTGTATATGTTTTTTTTTTATAATAATGTAGTAAAGGTACAAAAATTTTGCTAATAAAAGCCACAAATAACTTTAAACAGTGTTACAATTTAGGATACAACTTCCTTGTTTCCTTTTCTAATAGCCTGTAGCAAAAAAACTTGGAAAATTATTTTTCCAACAGATATAAATAAAGTCAAAGTGTAAAATTTGAACTCTTATAACTTAAAAATTTTTTATTTTTTTTTGGAGTGCGACTTCTAGTGCACCCATATTTTGTAATTTCTGTTTTAAATAAATCTGTTAAAAAGATTTGATTTGATGTTTTATTGTATCAAAAATAACAACCCAACAAATGTTGTTTGGTTATTTCTGATATTGCAATAGCTCACTTACCGGTCTCTGACTTACTTGCCTGCTATGATAACTTAATAGCTCACTTCCCGTCCTCAAAAAAAGCCGGAAAGCAAAATTTGCCAGATAGCATAAAATAAAGTAATGATTGTTTGTGTTTAGTGTTCTCTGCAAAGCTCTTTTTGGATTAAAGTGGTCGTGTATTCTTGACAAAGCTTTCTCGTGCAACGAAAAACTTGCCGCATCAGCATTCTGCAACGAATGAAAATAAGCGGACTGTCGTGTTGAGTGAAAAATGACGCTAGACTGGGATGGTAATGTGACGATAGATTGACAGCACATCAGACGATACCGCCATTCACTGAAAAATTCTTTTATGCTTTTGTTTACGATAAATGGCCAAGGATAATCAATGGATCTCTTTTTCGATCAGTATCTTCAAGCGGGACAAAAAGCAGGTCTTTCAGTCGGCAGGCTTTTTACCGTTCGTTAATTTCTAATTTCCATTCTGGTTTTGACTCGGGAACAAAAAGTCGTGGCTCCCTCTCGCGGCAAAAGCGCACCTGCGTTTGAGGCCTTAATCGCTCCGGCCGATACAGTAATTAAATTCCGGGAATTGTTTGTCGGCGTTCGAATTCCGGCGTTCAGGATTTGTCAGACGACGTTTCCAGCTGGGGTCATCACTTTCTCAATGCGGTACAGACATGGAATGTCACGATTCCAACCCCCGGGGTGAAATATACGAAAGATAAATCGAGTGTGTCGCTGTTGACATATGACAATGCCGTTCTCATCGCGGTCTTGCGTGAAGAGGAAGACGACTGATAAGGTTAGCTTGATTGTCGACGCCGCTGCGTTCCACCGCACTCCCGATGGAATTTCGAACTTCACAACCCTTTCTTTGTATTCACAGGTCGAACAGCTGTGCGTTCTCACACACAAAATTCACGCTCTATCAAAAAGTTACAAATTGTTACTTTATGACGAGACTGGGTTAAAATCTCACACTTTGAGCCACTTTTTTCAAAGAAACCTGTAGATGGACGATCAAATTGCTTTCGCATTACAAGAAAATTTTATAATTTATACACCAATTTCAACAAGCTTTCTTCCAGTTGTATAAGTCAAAGTTCTGAATTCAAATTTAAAGTATTAATACGAAAATTCTTGAAATATCTGTTCTTACATTTTGCGTTTTTATTTTTTTCACAAGATGTCTATTTTTTGCTCATTAATTGAAATGAAATAGCAATTGCAAATTACCAAACACAACGTGCCGGAACTAGAAAATTTGCTATTTGCTCATCTTCTCACTCGCCTTTTAAACCGCAAACGACGTAATTAAATTCCGGCGATTTCGTGTGTAACTATTCGGCGTGTGACCCTAAATGGCCTGGATCTTGTAGTGTCCTTTTGTGTCCTAGTTACATTTTGATATTACGATAAATTTCCACATTGCCGAGTTTATCTCTCGTCTCCAGTTCTTGGTAAACTGCGTCTTGGGCTTGTTTACTTTGATAATGCAGAGAAGCCCGCAGCCGGACATCATCTCATATTCCTTCCGATTCTCAGATCAATTCTCTGAGGGTATCTCCTTTCATATTACCACGTGAGATGAAAACCATTGCAAAAATTCAATTACTGGACTTTTACGGACAAGTATACATGAGATATGGTGATGCATGCTGCGAGGCGAACTGGCCCGAGATAAGAAAACATGATTATGTTCTCTGCTCGGATAAAATTGGAATAGTTTATGTTCCAGAGAATGGTAATGACAGGTCAGACTTGTGCAGCCGCCATGTCATAAGCAACTTATTGCAGCCACTCGAGGATTAATAACAAGATTTTTGAACAAGGAAATGTTTTTTGCTTTTAGACTTCCACCATCAGGTGTCGTGTGTCACAACTGAGACAACAGCATCTTGATGAAAGTCGAGACAATAAATAGTTGGAATTGACATTAAGGACAAGACTGACCTGAAGACAAGATTTATGTGTCCAATTCGGTTAAAAGAATATATCTTCGGGTCAAGTTTCCGTCGGTTTCATTTCGTTCCAGCATTTGAAAACAAATGTCCTATTAGCAATTGTCGACTGAACTAACATTTTTCATTTAGAAAAACACGTGAAAATCGGAATAATTGACGAGGCTTTGTTATCGTACGTGACGGATTTGTTTTTGCTGTATCATTTTTGATATTCCATTGAAGTGCATTGTCAACAGGCGTCTCCCTATTGTTCATTGGACCTCTGTGATTTTTTTAGTGTATTCGTTTCCAATGTTTGTTTATTGCGTCGCATTTGATATCGGCATTCGCAGCTGACTGGTTAAAACAAATTCCCGTTTAATTGTAGCGAAAAATTGGATCGGAGCCGAGACTAATCAGATCCGCAACACGCAATTAGGCGAGAGGAAACCGACGTGATAGAGACGCGTCTGCCTGAATCAAACATTCATGGAGTTGAGACGAGGTGATCGCCGACGGTGTTTCACGAGATTAGATTTTCCAACATCAGATTGATGCATCGGAAACACTGGTGGAGACATTTCAGACACAAAGAAAAAACAAATGTGTTTTTAAAACACTCATTTGAGTGCAGAAATAATTGCTTTTATAAGATTAGTAGCCAGATCAACGACCAAAAATGTCAAAAGAGCACAGTTGTGCTGGGGTTCGATAACATCGTGCAGATCTGTCACAGTTCAATATCGCGATATCGCGGCTCATTTACCCTCCGTCGACCACACTTTACTCCTGTTCCAGTAATTACGGTCACAATAGCGTCCATCTGCGATCGCAAACCTAGATACGTGCTGATTGCAAAGACCGCACCCAATTAAGACACCATCGCAACAAGCATCAACGTCGTCATCGGATCTCCTGGGAGTCGTAATATCCGACTTCCTATAACGAGATATGCACGATGCAAGGCTATCTCCTTGAGTACGAACGACTCGCTCTGATATCCGTTTCGAATTACTTTTCGGCGAAAATCAATTTCTGCGATACAATATTTGTTCCCCCATTGAGAAACATTGAACCTGGCTTCTTCATTTGGAAGAAGTCATCCGAATCAAATCAATATCTGACCGCAAACTCAACAAATTGGTCGATGACGTTCAGAATATGATCACTAATAGTTGCAAATTGGATGCGAATTGAGATGCATTCTGCAGATTTACTTATCTCGCTCGCTGCACATGACACAATTACCTTTCGTTCAACATATAGATCACGAATGGAACGATTTAGAAGCCGATCGTACAGGTTGCCCTCCAGCAATTCGCACTTAGTTACAGGAATTCACCTCTGACCCAAGAGTCAGTTTTTATGCTCGTTTTTAGCTTACGAGTACTACCACAAACCAAATTTATTTAAGAAAAGCTATGTTAAAAAAATGATGTAAAGTTGTTACAGATCAACATAAAAATTTTGTTGCATTATCCACAGTTTCTTTGTTTCTACAATAAGATTTAAATTTACAGTATGTCCCCGGATTGAGTTTACAAGAGGAAAAATTTTTTTATCTTTGATATTACGCCAAAACTGCAAAGGAAAAACATTTTTTGCTTTACTTAAAACGAGAAAATCTGTTATTAAAACTTTATCTTCTAACTCAGTAGAAAGAAAAGTCCTCTGGACTTTGGACTTAATTTAATTTACTTAATTAATAAATTAGTTGTCAAATAAATGAAACCGCCAATGTGAACTATAAAAGCAGAGAAAAATCAATTACTGATGAATCAGAATAATGAAGTTTAAGTACAGGTTTGCTCGTTTCAGGTAAAGCAAAACATGTTTTTTTTGCAGTTTTGGTGTAAAATCAAAGATAAAATTTTTTTTACCTCTTGTAAACTGAATCCAAGGACATACTGTATATGTTATATAATTTCAAAAATAAATTTCGATTTAGTTTTTCAAATAATAAATTTTTAAAGGTTACGGGTGATTCGCAATTCTATGCACTGATTTTAATTGTCCAAATGGAAAAAATTACAGTTTCTTTAGAATTTTTCTTTTAGAATTTTTCTCGAATCTTAGGCAATTCTCTCTTCTAAAATCAAAAAGTGAGACATAACTACTTTTTATTAAAATTTTGATTGTAACTTAAGATCTAAAAAAAGTAGTTGATATATTTATATTTTAAAATAATATATTTAGTGTTAAATGTAAACAATGTACGATGTTGATCTTAGATTTGAAACAAAACAAAAATTGTAATAAAAATCAGTCGCTTTTGATGTTTCCTCTCCTACCTACCCACCTAGGAAATTCGCAACACAATTCCACAGATTTCCCTCGGAAATACCAATTTGATCCACAACGCTGTTTCGGCCATCTAGTAGATCCGCTGACAAACTAATTATCTAAATTAATCACTTGATCGCCATAATTCCTCACACATTTACCCTAAAACCCAATCGAATCGATAATAGTTCCCCGAAAGGAGTCTAAATTAAATAACAATTTCTGTATTATTAGTAACACACGCGCAAGACATAAAAAAATCACTGATTAACTTTGAAATTGCACACCCGCGAGTCATAAACGCGTTTTATTTCCACTAAACCCAAGTTTAATAAAGTTTTCTGTTTTCAGATGATCGGCCTGAGTTTGCTCGTCTTATGTATCTGGCTGAGAGTGGAACCTGGAATTGCCGATTTTTTGGACAAGTTGGATGGGACTGATTTCTACATTGGGTTGTACGTTTTGATCGTCTGTGCTATACTTGTGATGATCATCTCGGTTATTGGATGTGTGAGCGCCTTGCAAGAGAGTGGTTTAGCTCTATTGGTGGTGAGTTTTTGTGATATTTTTAAAAAAATGTTTTTGTACTTCATTCTGGAACTTCCAAAGAACTGTAAATGAAAATTCAAATTTTTGGATTTATCTCTCGACAGAAAACGTTTTAATATTTGCGGCTTGGGATTAAAATCCGGGATTATTTTCTATTTACTTCCGGTCGCGCCGTCGATGTCATGACACATTATTTCGTTTATACATTTTAATCCTTTGAAAGACGGTTTTAATTTTAACTAAAGCTCAGTGTCAAAATCATGTCAACCTTTTTTGTGCCTAACCGACTTTCTGGGTTTTTTCCTCTTGCAAAAATATTTAATTCGAGCATCGAGTTCGAGCACTTATCGATTCGAAGTCTTCGTGCGAAATTTGTTAGTACACTACTTAATAAAATATTCAACTCGGCTCGCGCCTTGCAAAACCACTCGCAGCGTTTCGGTTTATGCGAGATAAGTGTGTAAATTGATTGCAAGATAAATAAAGCTGACGTCTCCTTACAAATCTATGAATACTAAACATGTTTCGGCGCGGCGGCGGCGTAGAGATGAAACGTTTCAAAATGCCGATTAATGAATCGGAAGCAGTGTCATGTATAATGCTGTACAAACAATTTTAGAAACTGTACATAACCGTGATCTATAGCCGTGGCTGTGCAAACATTCTGTCTCTGACAGCACTAATTATTATTTGATAACGTTCATCTGACATTCACAACTATATTTCAGTTCGGAAACATCCATTAGATTTGCATACACGCACTCCTAGGTTCGCGAATTTCAAAAAGCAACCCTCACCTAACACGACTCTTCACGCCAACTAAAGTGCAAATTTTAAAACGAATTGCCGCGTAGTTTTTAATTTAGATTAAACAAAAAGTTTGTATACTCGTTTTCATATGAATGTGTATCGAAGTAGTCGTTGAAAGGGGTCATTTTAAGGTGGCAACCATGTGAAAATTCAAACAATCCTAACCTCAATCTTCCCTAAAAATTTTTTTTTTAATAAATGCGTCCCCAGGAAGCAAAAAATAAAGAAAATTACCAACGTAATTAACATAGGATAGCAAACATAAAGATTTTTGTCATTATTGATGTCATTAAATTTGTTCTGAATGACAATAATGACACTTTTTGTGTAAATCGGCCTTTAAATTAAAGATTCATTTATAATCGTACAACCTACTTGATGCACATTAATATGAAAAAGAGTATAACAAGTATATCATAGTTAGTAATAATTATTGTGGTTGGTTAAATTTACTACATCGAATTTCCAAAGCAGACGATTTGTGTATTCCTGCAAAAGATTTGTGAAGTTTTCGTGTATAAATTTGACTCAAATCCTGTATGTCGTTGGGATCGATATCGATAATGTTTACATAAAGCTCCACAGTTGGTATGACCTCATTATCCGCTCGCATCTCAACAATAAGTTTGTAGTTAACTCCGGAATCGTCATGTGACCCTGTTGGCTCAATTGTTAAAACGTTTTTGTAAGATGGAGTCCATTCCTTTGTATACATTCCGTGATTCTTTCGTTTTGTATGAATTTTTTGATACGTTTTTGTAGCGTCGTTTAATTGCGTTAATGTCTAGATTTTTCTTCTTAATGCTGGTGTTGCGGTTAAAACGTAGTCATTTAGATAAGACAAAGTAATTAATAAAGATGAAGAATAGGTTGTAATTAAGGAAATTTCATTTTTAGCGGCGATAGTTCGGTACAAAGACATTTGCTAAATGGATCCGAGAACGTCTCGAGAACTTTATCTAATAAACTCGGAGTAATCAGGGAAGATGTATAAGGAAGTGCTCTCGGTACTGTTTCCTTAACAACATGCCGTTCGGGCAACAATATAAGTGACATACACTCAAGTCGGACATTTGCCACTTGAACATAATTAACTTGTGGTGTTGCGCCATGACGATATGGATCGCGATCCCCTCGACGCTTCACAGTAATCTAATTTCCCTCCGGCACAAAAAGCTTTTATGATTCTTGAAAAATAACGTTAGACGCCCCTACAAGATTTAAAAACCCTTAAGTGTCCCCGGCATTTACAGCGTTTTAGGTTACACTCGAAAAATATGAGTCATTTCACATTCGCAAATTGTAATTTTTCCAGAGATTAGTTGTTATAAACTTTGGCACAATCTGCTAATTAATTATAGATACATTTAGTAATGCGAAAGTTTGAACAATCAAATCTCGGCACATTACAATGTTACAACCGCGATCTCTGCATACTTTAATTAAAACAAGGGATCGGACATGCCGACCGTTTTTACACTGGCCCGATGCGGAGCAAAAAACATTGGCATTTCAGGACATTTTTACCACAATTAAAACCACGAATAATTACTACACACTTTTTATATACCATTTCTGAAGCTCTTAACATACAGGGTGCGCCAGAACTCGCGCCCCAGAGAAAAATGTCAAATGCCGGCGGCAATAGGTTGCCAAAAAGTGCAGCCGAAGAAGTAATTTTTGCTTGCATAAGAAAGTTATTCGACTCTTAAATCCACCAATCCCAGAAGGGCACCTCAAGGCGTGATTGAAAAATTATATCGGTTGCTAGGTTACGAAAATAATACCAATTTGGCCAGAATTTTTAAAAATAGCTGGTCTACTGTAATTTTGTGTTTGACATTTATCGTGATGTGGGTGACATAACTTGCTAGTTTCCAGTATTTTTCTCGCTGAAGATGTTGTACACGAGTATAATGAGACAGAATCGTTAATTATTATCAACAATTATCAAAAATTATTTTGAAACATTCGGGAAACTCCTGATGAACCGACTTCTCTAAAACTTCTTCACAGGTATTGTTAATTCTCAACTTTTTCTTCGATCTGATACAGATTAACAAACCAATAAATGAATTTTAGAGCTTGAAAACTAGTGCGTTATCTTTATGAAACAAAGAAGCAAGTGAGAGTGAGACCAGAAAAACATGAAGAAGTACGCAAGTTTCTTTATTTACTTTAATGCAAAATTTACAGAAATATGTACTTTTTAGAAAGGGAGTCACGTTATGTTGAAATTAGTTGATATTATTGACAAACCACATGATTCCTCGAAAGACCAGCCCACAAATTCACCGAAAAGCGTTGCTRAAATGCCCTCGGAATTAAAACATTAGCAAAAATGCTAACTTTTCGTACTAAATACAAACATTGCAACATTCTTCTGGATTTTTTAATGAAAAAACAGCCAAGGGGTTATAGTAAGCTCATGCGAGTGGAAGAAAACAACAATAAATTGTTGTTGAAATTTTGAGGTTAGAATTTCTACTGGGCAAAAATGMCTAAATACGAGAGTAAAACTACAATTTTGATATTAAAATCAGTAACCTGTTTTATTTAAGCACAATTTCTTATAAAAAGCACATTTTCCTGTTAATTTTGCATTAAAGTAAATAAGGAAACTTGCGTACCTACTTCATGTTTTTCTGGTCTCTYACTCTCACTTGCTTCTTTGTTTCATAAGGATAATACACTAGTTTTCAAGCTCTAAAATTCATTTATCGGTTTGTTAATCTGTATCAGATAGAAGAAAAAGTTCAGAAGGAACAATACCTGTGAAGAAGTTTTAGAGAAGTCGCGGTTCATCAGGAATTTCCAGAATGTTTCAATAATTTTTGATAATTGTTGATAATAATTAACGATTCTGTCTCATTATACTCGTGTACAATGCGAGAAAAATACTGCAAACTAGCAGGTAATGTCACCCACAAATTAATAAATGTCAAACGCAAAATTACAGTAGACCAGCTATTTTTTAAAATTCTGGCCAAATTGGTATTATTTTCGTAACCTAGCAACGGATATAATTTTTCAATCACACCTTGAGGTGCCCTTCTGGGATTGGTGGATTTAAGAGTCTAATAACTTTCTTATGCAAGCAAGAATTACTTCTTCGGCTCCACTTTTTGGCGACCTATTGCCCCCGGCATTTGACATTTTTCTCTGGGGCGCGAGTTCTGGCGCACCCTGTATATTGAATGAATTTTAAAAATCCTTTAAAATTTTTCTCTAAGTTTAACTCGTATAAATTATCCTATATGTTTGTTGCGACGCCCCCTGTCACTGTAAGTTTCTGTTATTGCTATGAGATTACTTTCGGGGAACTCTATCAAACTCGCAAAGTTTTGCAAAAATCGATTTAAATGTTCTACAAACAAATATGAGAAATAAGATATGAATAAATATTCACATAACACAAAATAGAAAAATCTTATTTATTAACAATAACTTAACTTAACAATAATAATTCAAAGAAAAAAAGGTCTTATTCAGTCGGGAGGGCATACAAAATTTGACACCATTGCAACGGCGTATAAGTTTTTGCCAACTCCCATTTAAGATGTTTTGCTTCTTTATCCGACGAATACCCTCCAAACCAAGAAGTAGCATGCAACATAGTCCAACACTCTTCCAAAATATTTCCGTCCTCGGCTGCAAATGTATTGGCATTTTTCAGATAATTAATACTCGCTTGCATCTTGTTGAGAATCCTTGCATTATATGCCTTTAAATGCCAAAATCTTGGCTTGAAAAAAGGCCATTTTTTTGCCGCTTTCTTCATTCTATTCAAGAAAACATTAGCTTCATCGATTTCTTCTTGAGGGATTGGTCTTTTGCGTTGTAAAGATCGAACCATTTCTAGTAAAAGACATTCAGTATATCTCATTGTATTCAAAATACTCATAATTTTGAAATTATCGAAATCACTTAAATTGTAAAGTTTTTTCCAAGCTGGTGCTAGTCCTGGCTTGTACCTCAAGTAGTAACAATAAATATTAATAATAAGCTTGTTGCCAAAATCGGAATGGTATTTTTTTTGATCAATTAAATGCTGGGCAATCTGCTCAATTTTCTCGATGGGTTCGAGACAAAAATTTGTTTCAAGAAGTAACTCGACACAAAATGCGTAATAACCAATAGAACTGTGAGTGTGGTACTTTTGACCGAAATTGAGTAAAATTCGCGCCATGTAAACAGCCTCAGCTACTCTCTCTAAACAAATCAAAACTGTAGCTAGAGTAGGTACCACTTCCACTAAAGAATAATGAGCTTCAAGTGATAATTGCAAATGCACAGTACGGTACCCCAATTGAAGAGATTCAATGATAGAACCACTTAAAACCTTGACCAAAAACAATACTCCTATCACTGTTGCAATTGCACGAAGCTCGTGCGTTATGTTATTAGAGTAGTACTTTAGTACTTCCTTGTTGAAACAGCGTTCAAGCTTCTCACAGATGTGCATATCGCCACAAAAACTGTATAAATAAACGGCACTGGTGTAAACATCACATAAGACATCAATGTTTGAATTGGTACGCCTGAGACACAAAACACTTCTCGCAGCGGCTTGTTTTGCGAATTGCCAGCAACCCTCAGCAGCGTAAATACTTCCAATCAAACCCATACACAATCCAAAGTCTAGTTTTATCAATGGATTATCCTGCTTAGTAATACTATTAAAAACACGACCAAATCGAAGAAACCACGCCTTATTCAACAAAATATAAGGCAAAGTATACTTGAATGAAATTAAAGGAACGTTGTATTGACGCAAACTAAGCAAAGCATGGTTTTTGGCCGCTGTTGTGTTTCCCAATTTTAAATAAATATGTCCCATCAAATAATGGATTTTTCCCATCATGACTTGTTTGAAATTTCCTGTGAAAACATAGGCTTTATTTGTCTGTACCATACAAAGCTCGCTTGCTTCATGTAATATTGTAAGTGCTTCCTCATACTCAGACATGATTGATAAAATCACTCCATACTCGAGCATAAAGAATATTTTTTTACCCAAATGTTGAGCACAGTGACTGTGATGGATCAAATCGCGGTAAACTTTTGTCAAGATTTCTAAACAGAAACACGTAGTTGGATCCCAAACTCGACGCTTAGGAACATCAGCACTTGTCCACTGACGTTTTTTAGAATTTGGAGCATAAACAGGTGGATTATGTACATATTCTCTAATAATTGCTTTGTAATCCTCGACCGAAACATAGTTTTCGTTGTATTTCTCTAACCAGATGTATTTTTGATCATGACAATACTTGATCAAGTCTTTGAAACGTCGGACTGAAATTATCGACGCTGAATTATCGCGGAGACATTTGGGACAAGAATTGTTTTGATTTTCTAACAAATCTGTAATTCTTAAATGGAGTTCCTTCTTTTGGTTGAGTGGCAACAATTCATAGGCCAAAGTCTTGATATTGCGACTCTTGAAGTGCAAAACTTTGCAAAACGCGTACCTTGGCAATTCTAGCTCCAGATCGTATTCCTCCTCTTCCATGTAACACACACAAACGTTTTTCTTCTCTTGCAAACCACCCGAATTTACATAACGTGAAGCACAATCAAAAATTTCTTCTTCAAACAAAGTTTTAATAGCCGCAGCCAACATACTCTCATTCGGGTATTTTAAAAGAACAATTAATGTTGTTCGAGTAAAAATATCACCTAATACAGCTGCAGTCTTAATAATCAACTGCTGATAAGGCGAAAATGAATCAAACAAATCAAGCGTGACTGCAGTTGATGTTTCTTCGCCATGCTCGAGGTACTTCTTAGAAAATCCAGCTACTAGGACTAAATGTTTCTTATCGACATCTTCCAAAAACGCGTACTCAGTTTCACTGGTTAAGGCATACTTAACTTCCAATTCGCCATTGTTGATCATTTTGAGTAAACAAGCTTGGACATAACCAGGCCGGCCTTCGCAAGTTTTATTTATTAGTACAATTAATTTCTTTGATACTCCTTTCACATTAAGAAAACTACACATCAAGAGAGCAATTTCGGTTGATGGTAATGGCTCAATGTTAAAAACTTTAATTCGGTTGCATCGGGACAGTTTCCACATGGTGTTCCAAGTTGAGTTGTCTTCGAAACAACCAGCACATACAAGACTGATTAGTTTTTTTTGAAGGACTTGTTCAATCAAGTCTAGACTTCGCTTATCAATAAATTGAATATTGTCAATAAAGACTAAAATTGGTCGTATCCCTTTGCACATTCTATTAAAGTGTTCGTTGATTAAATCTTTACTTGGACTACTCAGCATCTCAATAGAAGTAACGGATCTACTAACTTGGAGTATTTCATTTAAATCCCACAAATAACGAGGCAACTGTTCCAGAACTGTAGGATTATGTTTTGTCATAATATCGTATAATTGATGGTAAATTGTTGAAGCAGTGTAGAAAGGTCTTTGGAGACCTTCATTCAAAACCATGGAACAGGTATATCGGTTTGAAGTCGAATATCTCTTATTAATCTCTTGCAAGATTTTAGTTTTACCAACTTTCGATTCTCCCTTAAAACAAATACTTGTCCATCCGGCTAACTCTGGATGTTGTAAAATAACATCCGCAACTCCTATTTCCATGTTGCGTCCAATTAAAGGCATCGATTGTTTATCTTCGTAGGCCATCTTGTCGAAATCTTCATTATATTCGAAAATATAACCAGCATCTGCTATACCTTTTAATTTAAGAGCTGACTGAACTTGAAAATAGAGTGATGAGAGTTTGCAACTCTTGTAGGTCTCGTGGTCACAAGTGACTTTGCCTTCGTAAGCACACATTATTCGAGCTGCTTTGTTAACAGCGCCTCCTATGACAGTGTATTCGCGCCGGAAAGGGTGACCTACCACCCCGCAATAGACAAAACCATTAGTTACTCCGATTGAAATCGATTTAACACTAGAAAGCTTTTTGATGGCTTTCCGGATGGCAAAAGCCGATTTGAGTGCGTTTTGACTTTCAACTTCGTGTTCGATGCCTCTTAAGCCAAACAAAACTAAAATCATGCAGTCTTTATCAAAGAGGGACACTTTGTTAACAACTCCTCGGACTTTCGATACAATTTTACACACAATTTGATAGGCCGTGTTGACCATTGGAACCAGTTTACTGTCTTGGAACGTGGTAGGAACGATATTGATAAATTGAATAGTGACTTGTCGCATTTCGGTGAGATACTCAATTGGTTGTTTTTCCTCGACTTGGCTTTGTACAGGTCGAACAATAAACGGATTCAAATCATTCGGAATCCAGTTCATTGGAGCAGCTTTAACGCTTGGTCTTTGCGGCAAACTGGCGATAAAACTTTCGGTAATTTTACTATCAGTTGTAGCATCGTCGATTCGTCTTTTTTCGTGTAGTTGGCTTCTGTGCTCCAAATGTTTGACACACAATGCATGCGCTATTGGACTCTTGTTGGCATAGTGTTGCTTCAAGGACGCTTGATTGGGAAAGTATACACAATTCCAAATCTGGTTAATCAAACACTTACTGATATCATTAAAAGTTGAGTTTGTCTTACCTTAACATTGCCATCTGGAGCATAAGTGACCTCATAGTTGTCTTCGGCGAGGTGTCCCCAAGCACTTGGTGCCACAACAACATCACCAGAAACACTTTCACGTTCTGCACACTTTACATCATTTATTGCTTGACCAGTTATAATGTAATGTCTGTACGACTCATTACCGATTACTGAAAAAGTCAAGTTTCCACAAGCTATGGCCAGTTTGACCTTCAACAAAACATTAACTTCGGTTTCAAAGCATCCAAGTGTATTTTGAATGAATAAGGCACACACTATCACTTGGTGAATAACTTCGAAAAGCCTCAAATCGGGTGGAGCCTTCCACAATGCGAGAAACGCATCGCCCGAAAATTTCAAAATATCGCCTCCATAGAAAGTAATTACTTCTACTAAAGCTCCGATGTAAGCGTTCAGAGTTGCTGTAAGTCGATAAATGCCTCCTTTTCCTGTCTTGTAGTACTTTTCACACAAGGGAGTAAAGCCGGAAACGTCTGCAAAGAGGAGTACTCCCACAAAGTTGTGAATTTCATCCAGTTCCGTCAAGGGCATGTTGAGGATTTCGTCGGGCATGAAAGTCGAAAGCATTTCGATCTGTCGCTTTATTTGGGTTAATTCGATTTTGCGCTTGATGTCGGTTTCCCGAAGGAGATTTATACCGTAAGTGTTCCATCTCACACGCATTTTAAGCAAAATGAAACTATTCAGTGACAATTTTTAGATGAGAGTAACACACTTGATACATGTGTTAAGTCATCACTTTTAATTTATTATTATTATATGTTAGTTTTTTAAAAATGTGTTATGTAAAAAAAGATACTCCTATATTTTTAAAAGGTCTCATATATTGTTTGAGGTGTTTCTTTCGAATATGTAATCACACTAAAGCAATTTTTCTCGTGTCGTAGTTTTCCCTTTGCGCGTGAAATGAAGTTGCTCCGCCAATAGCGATTTACGAAGTTTAACAACTCGATAGTGATTTGTTTTGTTAAATACACACGGCGGATGTCGGCAAATAATGGCACTCTAAGCGCAAGTCCTGAACCTGCCAGAGCCGAGAGAACTTTAAGTGGCGAGGCGTCAGGAGAAATCGATTAAGCTGAAATGTTTTTCACTTTGAAGTTTAGGGCCGCTTTGAAAACGGCGGTCGCAATTAAATGGTTGATGTTGAGACTGCTAGAAGCAGCCCTAATACCAACCTGGCCCCTGGAAATTATTATAATCGTCTTTAGCAATTTAATCATCCTAAGGCTTTTAATTATAGTTTTAGGATTATGATGGATTTTAAACCGCTGGTTATATTAAAGGTCGGGGATTCAATCTCGATCTTAACGATAGAAAAAGATATAGTCTTGGAAATAAAGAGAAGATTTTTAGGCTCAAAGTAATTACTCGATGTTTAGTCGAATGGACCAGAGCGAGGGTCTTAAACATAATTACTAAACTAAATAGCAACTTAATTAAAGCTCTCGTTGACCCAAAACTACCAAATCTATTAAGCACTGCTTTTATACCGACTTAATTAAACTTGAATCGAAAATCAAATAAATCCAAGTTTAGTTCACAAATATATACTACATATGTATTTAAAATCATATCGTTTGTACGTTTAGAGTTCTAAAAAATCTCTTCCATTACTTTTAAAGCAATGAAAATGTAAAAGAGTTTACATTTTTAACAATTTTTATGTTAATTCATAGAAGTTACGAATTTCAAGTCGCTTTTTGTCCACTTGTTGCCACTCATATTTTTCCTTGTCTTATACTTAGTTTTCCATCCATCATCAAATTGACTCGGATTTAAATCTGAGTCATTATTTAACGGCCCAACGATATCAGTCGGAATTATGTGAGATTTACTGCCTTGCAATTTGTTGAGTGTAATTAACATCTCGAGCTGCAGTTTATCATTCAGTGTGAAACGGCACTAATTAATCGCGTCTTGCTTAATACACCTCCGTAAAAAGATTTAGAAAGTTCGCACTCTACAAAGTTGACGACAAAAGTGTATTGTTCTGTCGTTGTGGGGCAAACCCATGCCTGATACAGGGTTCTTCACTCAACGCTGGCCGCAGCAGCACCATAACACGACTCCCCGGGCGCACTGTAATCGTCTCTGTCTCTCGTATTTTAATAGTCTTGATGGCAAAAATAAATGAATGCACACTTCAAGCCACCCCAAAGCAAACAACATGCCATTTGGCTTATCTTTTCGATAATTTTCGATATTTTGAATTGTTGTATATGAATTTTTTCATTCGGCGATTAAAGTATGTATTTGTAAAATATTTATTTTACTCATTATGTTCGTTAATTTAAAAATGCCTTATATAAAATACTCAAATATAAAAATTTCATTTTAGCACGCATTAGTAGAGATCTCAATTTTTGTAAGTTTATTGGTTTGCATTTCAGTTTTTGTCAAAGTGCTTGTTTTGAGTTTAATTCAAATCCTCGGCTTTGCTACTGTTACTATTACAATCATTGTAAATTAGAAAGTGTGTCGTGTACGATTTTGAGCTTGTTGACCCAACTATAATCGCCCTTTGTTCGTAAAAAGCTTTTAATGAAGTTGGCCGCTCGTCCAAGCCATGTTAGCGTTGGATTTCTGTACACATTTCGAGCGGTTTGTCCGTCCATTCGGTAATTCCTCGGTTGCAAAGTCCAATACTCGCCATTCTATTACCTAATGCAATAAGGGAGGGAAATAAATACGTTTTATATATAAGTACATATATAAAAGAGCAGTCAAGCGACGCCAACTAAGACGTTTGTCTTGTTTGTTCTATCCGGCGGGTAAAACTTCTCCGGCGTTGTTTTGTGTTCTTAACTCCGCTTTGTCAAGATAAGAATTCCCAAGCAATTTACAATATTTCTGGCCGTCTAGTAGAAATTTGACGACCTATCTCCGTGTTTTCCGCAAACTCAGCCACTGGAATTGCCCGAAGGCTGCCGTTTGTGTTGGAGTGCGTAGTGGCGCGGTTGTTGCGATGCCAAATTATCCCTCTTATTATTTGCATCTGGAGCTCTTTTTGGGGAGAGGAAACCAGTCGAGACACGGCAAAAGATAGTTTGATGCGAAATTGGAGATGCAAAGGCTGGAGAGACGGCGCCAGCGGGCCGGATTCGTTTACTCTTTATTGCCCCAGTAAGAATGATAACAATATTTTTAATAACTCGCCATACAGAACGCAATTTAGATAAAAAATAATCAACACAAGGATAATTTATACACATTTGATCTTGTCCCAGATTTAAAAACCAAAAGACTGAATAAAACTAGTTTACTCCTGTTGTTATTTTGCACTGAAATAAAAATATAATAAATTAATTTTGGTGGATGCGCCGGGCGAGCAATAAAGCTTGAATAAAACATTTTGGGAAAAAAAATTCAACATCGTTAAATACAAACAATATTAGTGTAATAAAATGTGCGATTCATTGTGTTAAAGTTTGAACAGAACGCCATTCAAAAATAATAATAAACCGTTTAGCGAGTTGGTTTTTATCTGGAAACGTTCTCGCATTAAAAGGAAAAATGTTTATTTTATGTTTTTCTAAGTAATCATAATGGATAATCTGTCTTTATTACTTTTCCGATAGTTTTCTAAGTAAACAAGTCGAGCCGCAGAAATAACATCTCGAAAGCCACAGACAAATTAACAGAACCTGTTATTATACCAGTATCCATGCACATCATATTTAACAATAACTGTGTCTGTATTCCCTATATTGCAACAAAATTATTATTACAAAACGTAAAGTTTATTTCATACAACGTGCAGAATTTCATTTTAATTAATTCGTTGCAGAGTTTCTGATGGAATTTACTTCTTACCTATTATCAAAATTTTAAATCAAGAAACAAAACCTGTGTTAATATCCATTTTAATAATTAATATAATTTTCATACATTCTTGAGGTACGACTGTATGTCTACATAATTATATACATTTGAAGTTTTTTCCAGGAGTAAATGACTTAATTCTACTACGAAAACTTGATGAATAATTTAACCAATCAATGAGTTAAGAAGAAAAGAAAATTATACGTCCTCTCCTTTTTAATAATAAATTATATTTAATGTTTCACAAGCTGTTCTAATTACGTTACTACTTAAAATAATAGTAATTGTCTATATTTTCTTGAAGACGGAACTTGATGTAATTTTAATGAGCGCTCTTGTATAATTAAGTAAAAATATACCGGGTTTTAACATTAAAACAAGTAATAAAATTTTATGACGGTGTTTCAGTACACCTCGGACTTGTTTAACTATTGTTAAACTTCATCAACTTTAAGGTCGTTGTTTACCCTTTCATCTGATTTCAGCAATTCAACAAATTTTTAATCCTCCGTTATTTGTCGTAATGGTAAGTCTTGTGTCAGTATTTTGTTTATTTTTTAACTCGTTTGCGATAAAATCAAAGATAATAAACACGCGAAAAGTGTAATGCTACAAAATTGAATTTAATTTACATAATAATAAACATGTGAAATGTAAATTAAATAAATTGCTGCCGACAAACCATGATGGGAAAAATAAGTGAGTAAAGAGTGAAAAGTAATGTTTATAGGCGTGGTCACCCTCAACCGAGATACTTTCGTTTTAGAGTCTAATTGCAGTCATCAAATATCCATTTCTCAAGATAACAAACGACAATAACATTTAGTCCGACCTAACTGCGACCGACATTGTTGCATCGAATTTTTTAAGGGTTGCTTTGGATTACTCGTTAAATGGTTCAGGTTTTTAGAAGGATTCCTATTTTCAAGGCTTTATTAAGTGTCTAAGGTCAGAATCAAAATTTGAACTTACTTGTTTATTTACAGCAACGTGAAACCAGAAATGCGTATAAATATTTATACGATTTTTATCTCTTCTTTTTAAAATAATTAAAAAATTGTTTAATGCACTTTTTGTTTTGTTGTGCATAAATTTACTATAAAAATATTTAAATATCAAACAAACGAAAACATGAAACAGCACAAAACCAGTTCAATTAAATCTCGAATAAACAGAAAAATTAAACATTTGGAAATACTATTTCAGCTTGCTTTTTTGTTGGTATTAATGTTATTACTGATTTATCGCATTTTTAGTATACTTTAGACCGGAATTTTTTATTACGTTTCAAAATGAAAATTTCAGCGCCTCAGTATCCATAAACAAAAACTGCGTAAACTGTTTCTTATTATTTTTTGAATGGCTTTGTCGAGCTTTTCCTATAAGCTCCTCGTTTAGTGTTCCATACACGGAGCTCAAAATTGCATATTCATGTCGACCAAAGACAGTGAGAAAGAGAAAACGTCACGTGCATCAAAGTTTCCACTTGACTTAAACTCGGAGCTGGTAAGTAAATAATTTAGCATTTCGTTTAAAATTGCATGTGTATGGTGTGATTTATTCAATGTGTAGTGTTAAGCAAAACAATTATCGAATACGAATTAGAAGAATGTTCTCCATAGCTTAAAATGAAAAAAGAGCTTTGCGTGAATTAATTATGTGAAAAAAAGTTGCAAAGTATACAACTTCCGGTTTGCTTTTCTCGAGGCAACCTCAGTCAGAATGGGCGACATCCGTAACTAAGTACACGACCGTATACTTTCCGTGTCTACTTATTTCACGGAAAATATATGAGTTACTTTATTCTTCAAAATAACTAGACGCTTCATGCATACGAATTACGAGCTAAACACGCCTTGTTGAATTTGTTACTTGTCTTCCAAGCACGACTTTTATGCCGCATAAACACCGATTTTTATATGGTTTTGATGATTTAATTAGGGGTGGAGAAACGAGTCCTTCATTAAATCAGAGAGCAGATATCGGGACAGAAGATAAGACCACACCTAGGCTAGGCGTGTCGTGACATATCACCCCGATTTTAATTAGAGTGAAATAAAGTAAATTATTGTGTAATTAGTGAGTCGCTTTTATTTGCGTTAGTGTGACACGAAAAGAAAATTGTGCCCGATCAAAAACAACTTCTAAAAAAAGTTAACTTAAATAAAAAACGCATAAATTTAACCCAAAAGCAAAAATGCTGTGAAGTACAACTTGAAACAAACTCGAAAAACTAGCATAAACTCAAATTGGAGAACCTGAAATACAAGGTGCGCCAGAACTCGCGCCCAAGAGAAAAATGTCATGTAAGGCAAGATACCAGGAGCATGAAAAAAATGTTAAAAAAAATTTATTCATAAAAATTTCGAAGCTATGAATATTTAAATTTTGCACTTTGACGCAATTTATTTCTGTTGGAAAAATAATTTTTCAATTTTTTTTTGCTACAAGCTATTAGAAGAGCGAACAAGGAAGCTGTATCCTAAATTGTGACTCTGTTTAATGTTATTTGTGGCTTTTATTGGCAAAATTTTTGTACCTCTACTAAATAATTATAAAAATTTTTTTATACAAGATCATCAATAACATTTAAAAAATATCAAATGTCAAAATATGACAAAATCATTTTTTTTTCCATGATTGTGGTATCTTATCTTACCTGAATTCTTTCTCTGGAGCGCAAGTTCTGACACACCCTGTATAAATAGTAATCAAAATTTAATTCAATAAAATTGTAAAGTAAATATCTGAAAATTTTAAACAATTTTTAAAACTACAAATATAAAATGTTAAACACTGAGACACATTAAAATCAAAATACACCTGCACCTTAGAAGCTAAAGAATCCCAAAATCAATAACTGTTGAATCGAAAACCAAAAAAATTAAATAAACTCAATGTACCATTTTCATACTATACTACACCGTTTTATATGGTTTTCATGTTTTAATTAAAAAAACAAGCTATTTTTATGTTAAACCTGGTAGTTTGATTAAGTTTGACATATGTTGTAAAGGTAAGACTCATAAAACTGCATCTAAATCGAAACGTATCATGAGATATCACCTTTTAATTAAAGTGCAATAAAGTAAGTTTATTGTGTAATTAGTGCGTCGCTTTTATTTGCGATCGATATGACACCGAAGAAAATTTTCCCTTAGCTATAAAGAAGTTTTATGATGATGGAAATTTATGCCGGTAAAATTTTTTTAATTATTTGTGAGTTTTCCGAATTAGGTTTAACTAAGGGCGATACTTCTTCCACTCGAGATAATAGTATCAGGTGGGCTAAAACGACGTATGCCAAATGAGTTTTCACTACGTTAAAGCTGTAACGCGGTCACTGAAGACCAGGATCCAATTACTCTAAAAGATGTTGACATTTCCCTCGAGGCAAACTCTACCACTTGCTTGGTCACGCGAGCTTTACACATCGCATGACTGCAATGCCAACTCCACTAAGAATGTACTGTCATTTCAATACATTGTAGGAGAGCTACTCTTAAAAATTTAGAAATATTTTGAAGAAATTAATACGTTACTATATTGGAAACGCTCTATAAATCATACAGGGTGAGTCAATATCCGGATCAGGTCCAGACTGATCAAAATGATCGATGGAACAAATAGCCATCTATCTCCAAGCACACATTTATATAGCCATTGTCAGGAACAGCTCGAGGCTAACATGAAGGCAACCGCCCTCGCTATACAACATGTACGCTTGGCCGCCGCAAATGTTTAGCTTAATTTATTTCCAAATAAGCAAATCGTACACTACAACAACTGATTACAAACTAACTTCGATATACATAAACCGTTTTGTTACAACTTGAATAATTAACTTGGAAAACTCTGATCGCGTCAATAATTAACTACACTTCAAAAGATTATTATGTCTCTTCGTTAGAAATTATTAAGTTGGCTTAATTACATTGCTCTGTTACACACGAAATCTTGCAGACGCTGTATCGGAAAACCCATTTAGGTACCCGAATTCCACGCAAAGCTTTACTCGCAAGATACCACTGTATGATAACCTGTAATAATTGCAATTTGTACAAATAGTCCCAATTTTAAAGTCGCGAGCTAAATGCAAACCCAGTTTACTACATTTTTCAAAAACACACAAATCACTTCCGTGTTCCACTGTTTATAAAGCTTTTGTACAATATGTATTTACCATTCCTTTACTTCCTTTATTTATTTAGGTAGATATTGTACTTTCTCCCGTTTAACATAAAACATTTTTTTTAAACAAAGTACTTGATGTCACACATGTATACTACAAAAGTTTCCAATTGATATATTCAAGGAGTTTCTAAGATCTAACTCCTCAGTACAAGTTTTACTATCTCTTTAAGCAAAAATATCAACTCGAAAGAAAAATGATTTGTTTTACTCATAAATTTTTATAAACACATTACAACTTTGCAAATTTTGTGAAGTGCGTATCAAAAAAGTATTGTTTAAAAATGTAAAAACAATATAGTTATTTATTATACAAGACGATAAAGAAATTGTTTTTTCGCGAGTAGATAAACAATCTTTATCGTCGTGTATAATATTTCATTTTATTTTGTATACTCACCTATCAGAATTTCGTAAATATAAACAGTAGATAAAAATTACTTTATTTCACTAGACGATAAAAGACTACTTTATGTACTGAAATTCGTTCGCACTCCTTAACATTGAGTACAAAATATACCAAACCAAGCGCATTTTTTTCGTAAACTAACCACTTTACAAAAAAAATTATTAATGTAGCGTAAAGTGTGACCGTTTATCAAAAATAACATTTTCGAAATTATTTTTAGCTTTCGAGTTTTGCAAATTCAATTCTCTCTCAATTCTCTATGTTAAAATTGAATTTTATCTACTCTTTTCATGTTAAAATGATATTTTATCGTCTAGATGATAAAAAATTCGTCGAGTGTTGTATATCTGCGGTTGTTAGTTGCTAACGATTTTGACATTAGATTTCATTGTTGAATTTTATTTTGACATTTATAAATATCGACCAAATTGACTACAAAATTAGTGAGGATTAAATGAAATTTTATATTGTACACGACGATAAAATTTTCATTATCTTTTCGAGCATATTAGCGTCTCGGCTAACGCATTAAAAGTAATTGTTCATAGTTTTTAAGGTATGTACTTTATAGAATTGTCATAGTTTGGTAGCACATGATAGAAAAAGATACTAGTATCTATAACTTTGCTACTTTTTTAAGGTTGTAGATTATAAAGTGAAACTACCTGGTATGGTTTTTAGTTGTATATAACGACCTAAGTTTATATCTTGCACAAATTTAAGTAGAAAACAATACATGCGCTCGTTAGAAAAACAAAGTTAGCTTTTTATAGTTTTTTTTAAAACAATTGTCTATATTTTTTTTCAGAAAATAAATACATAGATTGAAATCTATCTCTCATAATGTTTTTCAAAGAATATTAAAATTACATTTTGCGAACTGTAGATTATTATTTTATTTTACTGAAAAAGTAGGAATATTGCGAGGAGATTGTCCAGAACTTTATCAATGTAATAAAATAGTAAAGAAACATTTCAAGGTAAAATCTTTCTTTTTGTCGATATCCTTCTCAGTTAACCCAGCCCCTCGCCCACGCGTGTCTTCTCCGTATTAAATAAAACATCGTTGTTAATTGAGATTTCCCACTACAACCGAGTGATCCAGCCGTCAGAAAGTCAACTAACTATAGCAGTTTCCACCGAAATCCTCCAAATTAGACAAATTTCACTAATACCTAATTAAATTAATGAGACGAATTATACACGCATAGCAACCGGGGACACGATTGGAAACCTTACCGCTAGATTCCGGGCACATCTGAGACAACACGCGTTCCATTCCCTGGAATACGCGTAAGTGAAAACACGCGCGACATCTGGGTCAGGATTAATGTAGCGACAATGCGGTCTAATATATTCAAAGAACTAATTTATCACCTTATGCGATAATTTCTGACGTGGATATCCACTTTAAGGCATTGGAGACACACCTGGGATCTGGGAAGACCGGTTCCCGGAGGATTTAATGTGTTCTTCGACCACATAAGCGTGACGACCAACTTTTTTTTTTTGTTGCAGTATATCGGAACTCAGGTTTTGGGCTTCATCTTTGGTCTAGCTGGAGCTGCAGTCCTTTTGGATAACAGCGCAAGGGACTCACATTTCCAACCAAAGGTCAGGGAGAGCATACGAAAACTTATTATCAACGCTCATCACGAGCCATCCAGGCAAGCGCTAGCCATGATTCAAGAAGGTGTAAGTAACACTATTAACAACATTATAACTTATTAAAAATTTTAATGCTCCACAACTGAAAATTAATATTGATTGGAGCAAAAGTGTCCGATTTTTAAGACTGGATATCTTGAGTTTCTCGAACTTCATTTGGCTTCTGTGGGGGTTTTAGGCAGTGCAAACAAGGTCTTCCGGTATATCACACACTGTCAGAAGCCTAAGCCGTAGATAAATATTGGTTCTTGTCGGATATTGTGACAGGGATGGTAAAGCTGTTTTTTGTGTGTGCGAGTTTGAAAAAAGGAGTTCCGTTCAAGTCTTTCAATACAAATACCGCGGTTATTATAACGTACTCGCTTGCTTTAAGGTTTAAACTTTAGTTGGGCTTCTCAAACAAGAACTTATTTACATCGAATTATACGTTTCATATTTCGTCTTTTTTAATTCTGTGCAAATAAGGTAGAAACGTGGAGACGTTTCCGGATGAACAAATATTATAATTAAGTTGAATGTAATAAAAATACAAAGACCAAACAATATATTTTTGTAAATATTGACAAAGACGGAAACTGATTTAGATTGGTTTGAACTTCTCTACAGATTCGAAATTTATTTCATTACCTGTTCAAGTAATTTTCCTCAGAGAGATGCTAAAGAAACTTTTCTGATTTGTGAGAAACATAATAATTAACTTGTTAACAATAAAGTTCAAAAGAAAAATTTATTTACTCAAGTCTTCGGCGCTTGCTTCGTCTTTATTAAATATATTTTCTAACAACGCATCATTTTCCACCCAACCGATACATTGTTATAAATATTGACGTAGTTTGGAGAATTTTCCTGGCAACATCGCTAACATAAATTTTCGCACTTAGTTCACTAGTGCCATAAAGAAAAGTGCTTGCAAACTAAACCAGTTTTCATTATATATTACAACAAAAAGTTTTGTAATTAACACGAGAATATAGAAAACTCGAGCAAATGTGAACATGTAATACAAAAAATTACGACAAAATTTCATTCAAATTTTCTAGATCTTTCAGCTAAGACAATTTTCATTACTCTAAAAGCTTTCAAGGTATAAAAAATCATTATTAACTTGTTAACAACAAGTTTGAAGTCTTGATGTATATGAATTACTGAGTTTTTTTAAAGTGAGGTGTTTTTTTCTTTCAACGACTTTGTAATAAATATATATCTTGAGTATAAAAATGATTTTACACATCATAATACAAAGTTTTGATAATGCCTTGCCACAAGAGTTTCCACTCATTAGCTTTCTGCTTGGTTATGCTCTGTTTGAGGTAATATGTTCAATTACGTACCTAATGTGTAAACAAGGACCACTAAATAAATATTACCCTAGAGAGGAAACCTGCATCTAAATCTCAATTTACTGAATAACCACCGGAATATACATTATCCACGTGTACATTTTGCACTACAACCGCAAAATTGACATCTAAAGGACATCCCGAAGATAGTACATTTATCGACGTTTCCTTGTCATGTTCTAAATCAAGAACTTAAATTAAAAATTTTTTAGTCAATCATTGAGACAGGAAACGGCCCTTGTCGAATACATGTCGACAAGTTCTTTCCTCTCTGTCGTCCGAATGCTCGATTCCATCCACTCCTAAGGTTATTACCTTTCCAATCAGTGCTCAAGTCGGGCTTGATGAGGTTTAAATTGCATTAGAATAGCTATTTTGGGGGAGCATCGGCTTCTAATTGAAAAGAAAAACCTATGCTGAAAGTTTTACCAATCGAAAAAGTCACACGCACAAAAATAAAATAATTTTCTATTAAAAAATATCACATCTACTGAAATACAGTTTTTAGTAATCTAATTATTATTATCTTTTTTTCAGATTGGTTGCTGCGGTGCTGATGGGTCCAAGGACTATCTTTCCTTGAAGCAACCGTTGCCGAATGAATGCCGCGACAGTGTGACCGGAAATCCGTTCTTCCATGGCTGCGTGGACGAATTGACGTGGTTTTTCGAACAGAAATGCGCTTGGGTGGCTGGCCTCGCCATGACAATCTGCTTCTTTTACGTAAGTTCTTTGTAGGCTTGGATTTATGTGCGCTTTTATCTGCGGCGTGCACGAGTTGGAGAGTTTATAGTTGAAGTGATTAATTGGAGGAATTAAGAATTGTCGTGAAGGCGAGAGAGACTTGTTGAGAATTCGGGATGTATGTTGATATTGGTAAAAATTCCAGCAGTGGAGAGTCGAGAGTGGGAGAGAGTTTTCCGACGCGGAAACTTTATTGATCTCCGCCTGTATTCGTGTTAAACATACACGTAGTTACATGTTAATTTCTGCGAGCTTTAATCTCCTCTTTAATCTCAAATGGGGTTTTTTTCAAGAATGAACTTTATAATTATTGGCGTTTTCTCTATTCACTCGGTATTAGGGTTGTAATTACGGTGCTAGTTTATACGTCATAATTTATCTACAAGCAATTTGCTCGGTAATTGTCCAACAACTTCCAATTAACGACAAATTAAAAATAATAACGGGGGATTGGGGACCGACATAATTATTACTTAATTCGATTCGGATAAGCGAGCTTTGTACAATTTTACAAAATTAGAATAAACGGTCCATCTAATTATTACTTCCGCTCAAATTACTGATGATGATATTATTATTAATACAGATTGGCATCTAATAGCATACTGCCGGAGCCTGGCAGACCATCCATTAGGGACGACAGCACGAAATAACGATAAAATAATAACACTAACGAGATTCGGTAATTTCGAACTAATTTTAAAACGGTCAGAGCATACATACCATCCAAAAAGGGGAAAGTTTAACACGGACGAGGCAAGTAAAAAGATTAAAAAAACTCTAACTTGGAGCAAAGAATTTTAAAGAAAATCGAGCCATAAACCTTAAATAAAAAATTAACCATCACAAGCAGTTTCTCCCATTTATTACCGAAAATAAGTACTTTTTAAACCAGTTTACTCTTGGAAAAATTGTTTTAGACAAAAAATATAGAACAAATATAAATAACAAAACACACAGATAATATCGATTTCTCAGAACCAGTCCAAAGCAAAATAAATATAAATATAGTTTGTTTAAAAAGCAATTTCTCTTGAAATTGAAATTTTAATAATTTTTCTTATATACTTTGTTTAAGTTTATTTTGACTTTTGTATTTCTGTTAGTTGTTAGGTAAATAAAAAAGAACTTCATTTCTTGTATGTGTTGTTTTCGGCGTCTAAAAATTTCAGTTATGAAGTTTAAAGTTTGTTTAATATTTGATAGGCACCTCTCGCAAATTAGATGGTCTGCTTCTGTTAAAATATGAAATACAATCAGGTCGGTTTGGTTACCGTGGGATAAAAGGTTTAGTGTAAATGCAATGCGGATTGGCTTGCGGTATATGATAAGATTGTTGGGGGGAAAGCCTTAAAAGATCAGAATGTAGCGATTTCTGGATATCCGTAATGTATATCCCTTACGTGCTTTAATCAAGCGAATCCATGCTCAAGGCGGATATTACTTGACGATATTGTCTACACAAACGTCGGACACTAAATCAATATTATGGGAAATTTATGAAATGAACTGAATGCGAGAGGCAAACCGAAACAATAATGTTGCACCAGATATTACCTTAACTTATCGCGCGTTCTCAAATGTTGCTTCCAAGGTCGTAAATTTTACGACGACGAGACTCTTGTTTGCTCCAATATTACCAATAAAGCTACCTTCGCACAAAAAGACAACTTTAATTGCTCAAATTTTACTACGAGCTTTCACACGTATTTAAATCCCTTATCACGCATCTCGTTTAAATTTACCAACCACTTTTATACCCAAGAGAACGCCCACTTTCGTCACACACGTTCTCCCTTTTTTAGGAAAGGACCATGAAATTTTAACAATACTTTTCAGGGGATTTCAAATTAGTTTCGTATTACCCAAGCGTGACAAGAGCATTATCCCGCCCACAAGAGAAACTGAAGAAAAATATGTATGTATATCATTCAACAAATTAAGAAATGCAAGCAATTTATAGCGAGTTTTGTAATAAATTATTTAGTTCTTTAAGTTGGTTTTATGACATACATATTATTATTAGGTAAATATTTTATTTTAAAATTAACGAAAAATAATTTTGGCTGCCAAACTAGTTAAAATCCATAAATTCCGTTCGACACCGATAAAAAATGCATCCCAGAATGATATAACATTACAAGTGCACTCGACAATAAAATCTACAAAAACTTCAATAAATTACACACAAACTGCACAAAACAACTTTTATTGTAGCCTTTAAAAAATATTTTGCCAAAACAATAGCAATTCCTCTAAAATTTCAAATTGAGTATTATAATCAGCACGTTCAATAGAGCTTAAAATTCACACACACATCAAATAAAATTCAAGAGGTTTTATCGTCAAGTGTGGTATGTAGTTCACACACGAATTTTTTCCGTAGAATTTCTGTAAATTATAGCTGTTCTGAAAAAAATTCGGATTTCAAAAGATTAATATCGGACATCTAAATCACTATTTATTATAAGTAACTGTTTTTTAATTACTTTGAGTAGTAGTTGTTATACAGGGTGATTCACGAGGAATAATGAGCCTGACCAAATTCTCGTTGCAACCAACATTACATTTTCATAGGTTAGGTAGATTTCAAAGATTTTTTTGTAGTAAATATGAAATCATAGTGAGCACACTTACAATTTGTCTATTTGAATGAATACAGAAGTAATTGTAATACCAACACAATAATGGGTATAATAAAATACGAATTACGGAAAGCACTCATTCAACTTTCATCCAGTTCTCCTTGATAACTTAACAGGAACCTAATTTTCTCAAAACTAACCTGTTCGTGTCAGAAGATGCTCTTTCTTTCGGGATATTATTGGGCATCATATAGGAAGCAAGAGATGCATTTTTCAAACATTCTCCATAAGCTAAAATCATGTCAGTCTTCTCATCATTGGAATAAGTCCACATTTTGCTCAGTTTATAACAAATTTGTAACGTTTGTTAAAAATGACAATGACGATGATTGATGATAATAATAGGCATCGTGGATTCAAATTATATTTTTTTTGAAAGTGTCGCAAAGCAACTTGCGAAAGTGTAATGGTGGTTGCATCAAGAATTTGGTCATGCTCATTATTCCTCGTGAATCACCCTGTATTTGATTCATCTAGATGCAATTCCAATGTAATATGTTGAAAATCTGTTTGAAATTTTATGGGTGAGGTTGTAGTAAAGTGGCTCTTGACGTCTCTGGAATTTTACTCGATTAAATAATTCGCAATGTCTCGTTTTGATTAAATTTTCGTCTCGTCGCTGTATCAAGTTTTTTTAAATTCGTTTTAGAGTCGAGGAAATATCATCGCGTCGCGACAAAGAAAAGACCGGAGCTACTAAACTTACAAAATAAAGTTCCTAACAAATGGACATCGTTAGCTGGAATGCAAGCTTACATTATTAGCTTTGTTACGAACAAGGCTTGTTCGAGGAAACAAAAGCGCGACAATGATACAATAAAAGTAAAAGCGAGCAACTTAAGGTATTTAATAAAAATAATTACGCACTAGTTAATTTGAATACAATTCAGACGGAGGCTCTTCAATAGAAAGATAAGGAAAATGAGTGGAAGAAAGACTCAATCACTCTCAGTGACAAAAAATTTAAAATATACCATAATTAAAATTCCTACTTCTGAGTGAGTGGAGTTTCGGAGTATAAACTCACAAAGTGCAAAACTTGGTTGATTTTCTTCGGTTAATTACCGATTATCTGTTTATTTCTCGTTTGCATTTCTCGGTTGTACCTCGCAGTCCTCCCGTGTGAAGAGATGTTCTCAAGAAGACTCGTGCACACATAGCGAAATTTGTAGTCTGTTGATTTTGTATTAGTTCAGCGCTCCGTTAAAATGTCTTCAGGCTCTAGTTATGTAATGAAGTGCTGTGAATGAATAATGCATTTAAAGTAACATCAAAAGATTTTTCCTGTAGTTCAGCTATAGCCTAATTATTCCATTAGCGATTCAAGATAATACGTAGAAAGAGTCGAGTTTAATCTATTTAAACCTTTAAATTTGATTAAAATTTTTTGTTTCGTTCACTAGTCGGCGCTGACAACATTAATGCACTTTAAAACGCATAAATTTATTAATTCGTTGTAAATTACAATCAAATTGTGTGACACGCTACAATTTATCGACATTTATCGTGCGAGTTAATGAAGACATAAACTCTTGATGTGATACCGAATGCAAGGCGAATTTCCCTCGGGAAACCGCTACATGTCTGAAAGTTAAGGTGTCTCTGTCGATCTGGGCCTTCACTACGACACTGGTGCTGTTAATATAAATGTATTGTGTCAGCACATCCTTCCCCTGTCACATACGCTCACGACTAATGCCTTAATCCGGATTATTTCATAAATTATAAACCGAGAAGAAAATCACAAAATTCGATCATTTATAAGATCAACACCTCCGCGTTGTGTAATAACACGATTTTATTCACTCCGACTTGATGAAAGGAAATTAAATTCGAAGCCGCCTAGCATTTAGGATTTCTCACGTAAAAGTATAAATAATAATTCGTTTAATTGAATTTGTTCGCTACGCTCGTAGGCGAGCGCCGTCGTCATATCAACGCTTCAATTTCCGTTTTTAGGCCATTTAAAAAAATTAATTTTATATAAACGATAAGGCAAATAGAACAATCATTCTAAACAAAATACGCTCTTTGTAATAAAGGTTAAAATACAGATCATACTCTGACAACAAAGAGCTTTCAAGCGCGTGATCATGAGATATAAAGCACTCGTATCTATTGGTATGTTATTGTGATCAAAGTATAGTATATGTAATTCACTTTTTTAAAAATCTGTTTCAAAAATATTTGCTTTTAATAGTGCTTTTGATTTACATTTTGCGGAACATGTAAAACATAGCGACAGGCGTTGAAAAACCCGTGTAAATAAAATAATTTATCAAATTATGTAAATTCCAATGTTGTGTTAACTGTTTGCATAATTCTTGTTTGTGGTAAACTGCGTTGCAATATATACTTTACAAATATTTCACTAAAGCAAAGTATTAACATTAATCTACGAGTATTATACTTATTTATTTCCTGCTTCGATTCCCATTGAGAAAACTGTAATGGTTCATGTTGCGCCCTGACAGGAATCTTTCATTCCTGACGCTAATATTCCACCGTCACAAAAGCCTTTATTATTAAAAATTCGCATAATAAAATATTGCAGTGTTTGAGGAGTGATAGAAAATTTCTTCGATCGTTCTTAGAAATTTCCAGGTAGTGGAGATATCAATGGTTCGTTCGCGTGCGAAAAACGTATCAAAACGAGTCGAATTAATCCGAAAACATTGTTGCACATAATATACATCTCGCCGATAAAAGTTTAGAACGACCCCTTAATTAATTCACTAATCTCCATAAGGTTGGAGGTAAGACTCAGGGTTGGCAATACAATGCCGCTTTCCGGAATGTGTCGCTTCCGGTTTTACCGCAGAATTTTAATCCAGATTGGGACAAAGGTGAAACCGACATAATTCTGGTGCATACGTTGCAACTTTTTCACTGCAGAATTTAATCCACGAAAGCTCATCGTCGACTACCAAATCAAGACGTAATTGTTGTTGTTGCCGAGTTAGTATCACACAAATGCTTCATATTTTACAGTGGCTAATTGAATTTTCCAGGAGATATTCATTCGAGGCGGTTTATGTTTTCAATGAGATTAAAATAACGCCTTTGTCGACAACTTTTCTTATTACGGGAAACAAAGAACACTTGCAGATTGAATGATAATAATTGGAAATAATAGCTGAATTAAATAATTGCAATTTCTGATTAAATTAGCCGCCTTCGCACGAATTTTTATTTCTCAAAGCTCTTTTATATTCTACAAGTAGAAGACTTGGCTCGGCAAATTTAAAATTAAAATTAAGATTCATCAACTTTTTTACTATAATTCGATTTTTTTTGTTTTTTTAAATGAAAGTAGTATATTTTTTTCACTACTAGTATTATTTAGTTTGCCGAGAGGTTGTGAAGTTGTTTTTCTCTCCTAGTAGCCAATAATCATTTTCATTATCGACCAAGGGCTATAATGTATTAGAGATAGGTAAATGCCGATGTTGGAGGGTATTACATGGATACAAATATTTCTAGAATATTATTATTGAAAACTATTACCATCACAAGTACTAACAGAAGTATTTCGAGATGAAATTAATGCAAAATGAAATAAAAAAACTTTCTTCATTAAAAAAACAGAATAACCACAACTCAATAATGCTTCTGTTTATGTCAAAATTGTCAAAACAACAAATGCGTTTATTTCTTGTTAAATGCTATCGGTAGTGAGGCAAATTCGCAAATTTTAACACTTTTTCTTTTTTTTTGCAGTTTTTTTGTTATTTTTACAAATATTTCATATTACGAAGTTAGAAAATTCCTTTAATAGTTGCAGAAGTACAAAAATGACACAACCTCATTTTTATGATAAGACTAAAGTACTTCCAAATTAAGTTAATAATTCAGGTAATTAATTAATTACTGTAGGTAATACTGAATTAACAAAAATAGTAGTTATGAATTACATGTTACGTCTGAAGCAACATGTTCATTAAGTAGGGTTATATTTTTCAACGTTGTATCTCTGAGTAATAAATGTGCTAGTAGTGAAAAAAATGTTATATAAAACACAGAAAAAAAGATTTTTATAGCCTTGCTTTTATTATTTCTTTCGATGCTATACTCGGCTATAAAAAATCTCTTCTTTACCTTGTGATATAATATACTATTATGTTATTATAAGCACTTTAATAGACTTTTCAATAGTAATTAAAAAATATATAAATAATTGCATATCATTTGAATGTCTTAAAAAATAGATTCAAATGAGCTTTTAATCATCATAATTTGCTGCAATTTCTTATTCGAATTGACTGAATTTGTGCTTGGTGTCTAAATGACAAATCATGCATTGTGTGAAAAACTAGAAGAAGGCCGAAGCCAAGAAAAAAGAGTTAGACAATGTAAGTAGCTGGTAGTAACAAGCCATAAATCATCCTTATCTTGAATTTTTAAAGCCGACTATGTGGAATAAAACGTCTTTGTACTTAGTATTTTTATTCGAAGTTGACACGCAGTTTTATTATAAATAGAATGCACTTCCATACGCTTTTGATAGAATAAAAAAACGCACAAATTTAAAACATCTCCATCCTGTTGTCAGTTCCTTTGTGTGCATTTCCAGATTCTTCACACGTGTTCGAACGTTTTCAGTTACAATTTTCCTTCGAATCTGCCCCTGTCTCTTCTTTTTTTCGCATCGTTCGAATTTCAACGATAAAACCACTCACGTAACTTTTTCCATAGGCGTGCGTCCGCAATTATCGAACCGTTTAGTTTTTTGACATAAATAATCCGGGATCAAGTCGCGCCTAACAATCGCGAAAGCTCCAATAAAAAGTCAATTTTCGACAGAAGAAAACCGCAGGGAAAAGTGTGCATATATCGTTGTCACATTAGTGCGGGACCTACCATTGATTTCCCTGCTTTTAAAATAAGTTTCCAGCTTTCCCAGAGCCTATGTTTTTCCAGAGAGGCTGCTTTAACCAGGATCTTTTAAACTACTTTGAATTGGTATATGGCTCGCTGTGTTAGCACAAATGGAAGAAAATTTCGGCTACTTTACTATAAATGTGTGTTAATTTGAGAAATTGGAAGGTTCTTTGTATCGCTGTTTTGTGTCGTTTTAAAACGTTTCAATTTAAATATGTAAAGCACTCATTAATATTCACATCACAAAATTCCCTTACGTAAAGCCAGGAAAAAAATCGAGGGAAATTAAAAATTGCAGCATCTGTTAAACCACGTTCTTGAATATTTCATTTTCTTAGAGTGGTGGCACTGCTTCGACTAAACAAAGGTACAGATGTAATCCAATTACATTGCCTTGCGAATATTAAAGTTTCAACTCGAAATATATTATTGCAGTTAGTGGTGGCGACGTTGCGATTTTGTTTCGCCATTATTTATTTTAATTTAACGTCAGCACGTGTTTCCTTGATTAAAAAATACACCACTCAACACAAAACACAAAACACAAACTTGATGGTTTTAACAATACTCTTTAATAGATAATAGTAATAAAAGTAACAAATTGCAAAAAAAAACATTGAAAATAAATCATTTTTGCACTGAATACATTGCATAGATAATGCGAGATACTCGACATTTTCTTTAACTATAAAACATGTTCCAGCCGAAAATGTAATCAAAGTTGTCAACATTTTTGGTTTCTTCGTCGTCTTTTACCACATTCGACATACGCCGACATAAAATACGTAGAAACCCTCGTCATAAATCCAACTTTTAAACACCGGCAACTACTATAAACTCTGCAACAACTTTCTAACAATATTTGCACTTGTCTTTCCGCACAAATTTTATTTAATTTTTTTCTTTTTTAGGTCATAAACATTGTCCTAGCTACCATTTTGAGAGCTGCTCTGGAGAAAGAAGAGGAACAATCCCAAACCTACAGAAAATAATAATTAATTTGTCGTAAACGCAAGAAACAAGATAAATGTCCTTTGAAAGATTTTTCATTTTCTTTTCCGGAGTAAATATTTTCATGACACAAAATAAATTCAGTAGCATTTTTACTTGCGTTTACTTTTTTATTCATTCTCTAATTTAATTATTACTGTTTTTTTTATAATTTAGTTTTAGTTTGATATAGTTGTGAGTAATGACCATAGGTAATGACGTAATTATGTAAGGAGTGATGTTTGACGATATTTCATGTGGAAACATCACGAAATAGCTCTGTCATGTATAACAAAGGTAATAAATAATAGTGGTTTTGAGCCTATTTATTATGCGTTGCATTAGAACGTATCTTTGTCATAGTAAACGCATTTATAACATAAACTTAATAAAGTGAAGCACATTAGTCGAAATTTCGCAGCGTAAATCACATTAGAAGTGTAGTGAATTGCGTATCTGGCAAAATTCGCATAAATATTGGCTGTTACATGCGGTTATGGGGTTTCGGAAGCGAATATAATCTACAACGACAACCAAGGGTAGATCGCTTATATCTTGTACAGAGGGTCGTCGAGCAGGAGTGCTCATTTATATCCATGCCTTCAACTGCAGGCCCTATACTCGTATCAAACTTGATACAATTGTATTACAAGCATCGCTTTATAACCCCCTCGTTTTTTCCCCGGTCCAAGTCTCCAAGTTTCATGCATGATCGAGATATAAATTAAAGTTGGTAATTATATCGTGGTCATAAATAATGAGGGTTGTTATAGTTGGAGGCAAACAAGAAGCACAAGTGTTACCTCCTTTAATTGCACCCCTATTTATCCCAAACAAGCTACCAACTTACTCAACTTGGATACAATGGGTATCGACAGACAAGTTACCAGCGGTTGCCTTATCGTCTTTTCGGTTTATTGATAAGGAAACACCCTGTTTATCACGTTGTATAGAAGCGATTAATTTCGACCTCAATTAAGACTTGTTTGTGGCTCGAAATCGAACGACCGTTTTTGGCCGATGGAGGAAGAAGAAAATGTTTGAGATAAGGGATGGAAATGGGAAAATCGAGTTTATGGAGTGAAAGTAAACACGACTAATTCGCGGTTTATGATATGATGCTTAGAGAATCAATAGAGTGGATAAAGGCGAAGACACGTCCATGATTTCTTTATTTATGAGGAAAAAATGGAAGCAAAAATACAAAACATAAAGATTCAGGAGTGAAATATAAAAACTTTGATATTATTTTAAATTTTAGATTGTCTCACATAGAATGACGGTTTAATAAAATGAACTTTTAATAAAGGTTTTTTGAATTAAATTAATTTTGTTAATCATAATTATAAAATAATTTTTGACTCGACAGTTTCCATACACTTTTGAGCTCATTTTTGTATGTGTTTAGGAAAAATAAAAATCTACGATACAAAATGATGTTTTTATTTATGTTATAAAACATTAAAATATAAAAATCTACAGCAAAAACAAGAATCTTAAAAAAACACAAAAACAATAGAGTTTTAATAAATAACCAGAACAATCACAACTCAATTTTTTGTTTAATACATCGAGTGGTTCCCAAACATTCTTTACTCGCGGCGTCTTTTTTTCAGTCAGTTTTTCCTAGCGCTCTATCCTATATACAGGGGTGTCAGAACTCGTGCCCCAAAGAAAAATCTCAAGTAAGATAAGATACCAAAAACTTGGAAAAAATGTTTAAAAAACTTTATCTGCCAAAAAATTTTGACATTTTTACATTTGACATCTTATTTGAACATGTTTTTAATGAATAAGTGATTATAGACACTAATCAGGCTTCCCAGAATAAGTAAAAAATTAATAAATAAATAAAATACTTATAACACCAGAAAAAATATATTAAGTATATCTTAATGAAGAACTCAAATAAATGCATTTTTGAACAAATACCATTTATTATATATTTGTTTACATATGACATATGACACATTTAGAAATCAATGGATGCTTAATTGATTATATTAAATTCGAGCGAGTACAAAGACCGAGTGATTTTTAAAAAATATAAAAACATCAAGTAACAAAGCGAAGAAATAAAAATTGTATACATAATTTAAATAGTAATAATAGTGTAATTATACCGTATGTCCCAGGCAGGCTCGGATATAGGAAATTAAATTGGAAAATTTGCTGGGTTAGCGTTACTAAGAAACGAACTATCAAGTCATTGTTGCCAACAGAGATAGTTCGTTTCTTAGTAACGCTAACCCGGTAAATTCAAATTTCGATTTTTCAAGGGCCGTTTTCGCCCAAATGGAGTTAATTGGAGAATGGATAAAAATGTCGATAAGATAGCCCTTTTCAAGCACTACAAGCCCTATCAATCAGATTTTTGATTTCTGTTACTCCTGCAGCCGGAAAAAAATAAAAACTAATTTCCCATGTTAATTTCCTATATCCAAGCCTGCCTGGGACACCTGGTATATCAAAGAAGAGAAAACAAATTTTATAGCCAAGCCGAATTGATGTTCTAAACTTTTCTTCAATGATAATGTAAAATAAAAACAAATTTAACATATTCATAAAAACTAAAGAGGAAGTTCTTTCATGACCGTGATCTTGCTGCAATGTGATTCAGATGCCAGCTTTAACATTCCGCGACTTACGTAAAAAATCTTAGCTCACAGTTTTACATTTTGGAGCTATAATCTATCCCTGGTAATGTCAAAAAGTGACATCTTAACGTCAACTACGGCCGTCTGTATTAACCATTGTTAATGGTTTTGATTATCTACTAGTAGAAGAGAAAAATCCATTATTGGCTAAGATGAAGAAAAGCAATTTCGAAAGCACCAAACACAACATATAATGATGTCTTCTGAGGCTAGTAGTGAAAAAATAATAAATAAAAGTATCTGAACAATCGGACCGACCTTTTATTTTTTCATCTAAATTTTATTTTCTTCAATTTTTTGATTAATTAGTTCAGAAATTTACTGGGAAATTTATTGCAGTTAACTAGAAGGTTTGGGCGTTTTAGAGTGTTTGAAACTTCTTAATCCGTCACTGTTCCTCACCTGACATTGCTAAATGATAGAAAAATCTGAGTGCTTTCCTCCAATCGAGTTTACTTGATTGAAAAAACTGATTGTTCTAAAAAGCTCGCCTAAATAATAAATAAAATTCTGATTAAAAAAGAAAAAATGCTTTGTCCGTGTCTTGACTCGTATTCGTTTAGATGATGAACTCCGACGTGAGCTATTTCCCAATTTGTGTGCGTAAATTGTGATGGTCCACGGCGGGCTTTCCCGCTCAGGTAGTCTCGTCTCTCGTCTCGGGACACTTAAAAGCCAGAAGGGTCGCGAGAGATTGATGCGAAAAATTCTTTTCTCGAAAGTGGATTCTTTTGCATAGTCGGTAGATCTGGCTGAATCGGTCGTTAAAAAGCTCGTTCCTTAAATATTTAGGGTTAATAATTCGGCGTCGCTCGCTCGTGTGTTTCACTAACTTCCCCTTTCTGATGAGATTCGGGGATTAGGAATAATTTCGCGCGGAAAAATTGGGGGACTTTATTGAATATATATCTCTCGAATTCAGGTCGTTAAGAGCGTAGATGCGGAAGGAGTTTTATTTCAGCATTACTCGGGATCTCAAGAGGCAAGAAGTGGTCGGTGTTATGTGTACTTATGTAAAATGGATTTTGCAAGAACCGCTTAGGTCGGGATTTTTCGAAATGTGCTCATAATCCGTCATATTATGCAGAGTGGAGAACGGTGAGAAAAGACCCGTCAACGTTTCTACTCTTCTGTCTGTTATGCTCGACTTGTTACCTACGAAATTTAATCTCATATTTTGTTTTTTACTCGGAAAATACATTATAAACCGCACTTTTGTCCGGAGAACACCGAACCGAACGTCGCGCGGCTTTACGAGCTATTCCTATACATGAGAATAAAGCACATGCTACTTTTTATAACCGTCTTAAAATTTGTGCGCCTTCAAATACGGCTACTCCAAGAAAAGTCGACATGCTTTTAGCTTTTATTTACTCAATTTCTTCGCAATTTTTATAGCCAACACCAAATAGGATTTTCTATCTAGCTAACTTCTTATACAACAAATATATTGACCTATCACACGAGCCACTAACCAATACACATTCATCATCCCTTGCCGTGCGCAACTCTCCTTAAAAATTGCTTTACACACCAACTTTAATGGAAATTTTAACAACACATTACTTCTTATAATTAAAAATTAGTATTATGAAAATTTTCACCAGCAAAACGTAAAGTACTAAAAAGAAATTATGATACATATTATGATAAACTTCGATAGTCTTAAAGCTACCAGAATTTTTTCCGATAAAGTATTAAATTATCAATAACACAAGAACTATAGTGTTGATCAAAAACAGCTAGTAATTTAAAAGAATCGTGTTATTTTTAACTGTTTCCAATCAATTCGATCGAATTTAATTTTTAATATAATAACTATGTATTTTAGATAGTATAATTTAATTTAACTACCATTTTTGGAAAACCAAGTATACATACAGTGATGGACAGTGAATTTTGTCCACCCAATTTCCCTGACAGATTAAAAGTGTAAATTAGTCTTTAGGTTTTCCTAACCTTGTTTCAGAATTTTGATTAACGTTTGTCATGTTGACAGAATGCTCGATGCTTCTTGCTACTTTTTACTTTGTCCTTTGAAATGGTAGTCCTTGGTATGCCCAAAAGTATAGAGACACGTCTTTGAGACTAAAAAACCTTCTTGTACCAGAGAGATTATTTTTATTTTATTAAACGCACTTACTGCTGGCATGTTCGAATTTGATTAAATTTGACAATACGTATTTGAATGTCAGTTATCATGACAATAAAGCACAGACTACAGTGAATTTTTGTGAATTCACAGAAATTGGGTGGACGAAATTCACTGTCCATCACTGTACATAATACATAAGAATTTTGAATGTTTTTAAAAAAAATGTTGTAAACAACATTTGTAACAAACTTTGTAACGCCTACAGTTTAAAAAAAAATCGCATACACTAGAAAAAACAAATAACCGTAATTTCAAAAAATTTTTGGAGTGTATATAACTATTTACAAAATTTTGACACATTTTGGAACAGGTTAATGAACAACTGTCCTGTCAGTGAAAGTGTCACAAAAATATAGTTTCAATTAAAGTTTCAAATATATAGCTTCAATTTACAATTTTCAATTTATTTAATTAAATTAATATTTAGTCTACGGGGCATAGAATAGACTAAATTTTGAAGAGTCTTAGTTTGTTGCAGCCTCGATCTCACCTCGTAAGCGATTACAGAAAACT